CTGGCTGAGGCAGAAAATTCTTGTGTGATGCTGGGCAAGTTTGTTATGAAATGCATGAATGACAATAGGAGATCATTAAAGGGACCTTGAGATGGACTCCTGTCCTTGTCAAAGTATGATACAGATTTCCACTTCCTCTGTCTTGCAGAACATAGGCATCTTTGATGGTTCCACTGTGATGCCAGAAGAAAACCACTCCATTTGAACCGCCCTAGCGCACTCTAGTGGGGGCCGCTTCCGTTCACGGCTTGGCAGCATTCCTGCTTACCCAAGGACACTGGGTAATCCAATGCAGGTGTCCAAAGAGAAGGGAGACAACTATAAACTCAGCTCCACTGGGAAAGGGTCAGTGATCTCAATGGTCAGATTAAACAAAAGTAAGCCAGCCTGGTATGAGTTGAGGATAATGTGATTTCTTTACAACTACGGGGGGGGGGGGGGGGGGGAAGGAAGGGAGGGAAAGGGAGACTCCCAAATATTTTTCCATTTTGTTTCTGTTTTTTTCTTTTTTAATGGAAATTTTTCCTTCCACATGAACAGCTCAAGAAGGCACATAAAGAACCTCAAAGAGGATGAGATTTTTTTTTTTCACTGTAAAACCCGTATTTGCAATTAGAAACAGATCTGTGCAGTCACACCCTTCACATATCATCTTCCTCTTACACCTGCACCCTGTACCACCACCACTGTCTCCATCTGCTCAGCTGAGGCTGTTCTGAGGGCACACAACCTTCCTGTAAAACATCACTTTGCCTCTTTGCTTACACATTACAGGCTGCTGCCTCACCACCAATGCAGGGTTTAATGCTCTCAGATACATTCTGCATGGGAGTTTCATACAGTAGAGTAGATACCTATTCAACAACAGAAGAAACTATTTCTTTCCTTTCTATTATTATTACTCTTTCTATGCTTGGAGAGGAACACACCTCTGTGAGGAAAGGAACGGGAACATTTAGAAAATAAACTGTTGCTCAGTTTATGCATCTTTGGGTCTCATTCATATCCAGAGCATTAGGAGAATAACTCAGCTTGAAATCTGTAATATTTATTCTATTACAAGGAAATGGCTTCTTTCACAGGGAAAGCATTAGACAGTGATATCAAAGGTTTGGGAAAACTGACCACTTATGTTGGTGCTTGAATAGGGGATGTAAACTTCAAACTCCAGGTCAAATTGTACACACAAAGCTCTTCAGTGTCTCTGAACTTTAGCTAGGATGCCAGTCACCATCTTTGCAGCCATGTGGGCCCTGATCACGGATTTACAAGTACAGCTGACAGATAGAATGCCAGCCTCACAGATGTGATTTGAATGGGACCTCCAAGGAACACAGTAAAACAAAAGCTGCTCCAAAATGATAAGGGTTGAGAAAGAAACTCAGAATCCATCACAGCTCTTGAGTCTCTCAGTTATCGTGGAATACTCCTGGCTAGCCTGTTCATGAGCTCAGCTGCTGAGGCTACCTCAGACATTTGGTAACTGGTGGCAAGTGGCATGGGCAATGTGATGTAACATTTAAACAAAGCTTAACAGAGCAATACTTAGCGGCTCTTTTTCTTTTGGAAGGCACTAAAAAGATTTCACCCTGCAGTTCTCATGAACCCTGGAAACAAAAGGCTGATAAACAGATGACTGAATATAGCACTAACCATTGAGAAACAGCCTGTATTAAATTCCACTCCCATCTCCACTGTTGTGTAACATTTGAGACAGGGCATTTGAAGCCTGCTTGAGCATGCCCCTTCAGGACTACTCAACTTTGTAGTAAGTAATCTCATAATACTGAGCATAGGGGTATATACAAGTGCTTGCAACACTGTGGACTCTGTAAGACTTGAGAAATTGAGGCCCGGTGTTTAACAAACAACATCCTGAACAATGCAGGTGACAGCACTGCCCCTCGTCAATGTAACATCTCCACTTACACTTTCTTGCTTCCCATTTAAATACCTGCAATGAGACACGTCTACTGGAGTAGAGCAGATCCAGATCAGACCACTGCTAGAACACTCACCACCTATGACACCTCATTTCTGAAGTCAGGGTAGCTCCAAACCAGACATACCAAGGACTTCCACTTTGATTTCCTAAATTTTGGCTGGGTCTTCTTGATTCACTGCCCCTCACTGCTAGCCCCCAGGCAGCTGCAGGATTAGCTGGATTCCTACCCTAACAAATTAATACACAGCCAAATTAACCTGTTTTTTTCTACACTCCTCTTGGTGTGCTGCCTGGAATGAAAATCAACAAAAAACAGACTTAAGAGCAGTGACTTGGAGCCAAGTGACAAAGCATTGTTATTACTCCTTGAAGTCTCAAGAGACGGCTACCTAGGGTATTGTCCTAGCAACAACAAAACCAGGAATGTCACCCCTTCTGTATGTCTCTATTCAGCTTCTTTTTACTTTTCCTTATTAACACAGCAGATCACATTGCTAATTAAGCCTGTTTTTTTTTCCTTTCTTGGATGTAGGCCCCTAGTACAATTTAGCAATAACCTTAATGTGATTTTGGGAATTCCAGTATTTACCTCTTCCCATTATTTCCATTATGATATTACTGCATTCTTGGCTCAAGATGAGCTTCTGCAACGCTTTGAAACACCAGGACAAAACCTTCAGTGAGACCTCATTCCTACTGAATAAATGATGGCACATGTGCAGAGCACAGGATATCTGAACATCCTCTAAACATCACCAAACCAGTTAATTAGTTAAGCTCTATAAAGCAAAACTAAACCTTTGAGGAGGCAGACTGTTTGCTTTCCCTGTGTAGCCATCCCAAAGCCAGGAGCTATCTATCAGATCCAAACCCACACGCCCCTCCAGCATACAGCCAAAACGCCCCTTCTTGACCATCAGTTCAAGAGAGGACACAGGGTAAACCCAAACTGCCCTCCTGCTACGCAAGCCCCTGTGCAAACAGAAACCTTGTCTCATGGGCTAAGGGACAGCAAACTGCTGGATGAACCAAAAAAGAAAATGCCACTATTTGTGTTGATAACGTCCCTCCCACTGTCTGAAAGCACCAGCAGCCCTGTTCTCTTCACAGGCTGAAGGGGCCACCTGCTCGCATGCAGCTCCAGCAGTAGCACAAAACACCCCGCTTCCCAAATGCTGCTCCTCGTGTGTAGGCACCAGAGTACACAATTGCTCTCCAACACTGGATAAATATGCAGAGCTCAGTTGAATTTTTCATTTTCACATACTTTAATCATTCCCAAAGCCCACCTTAGCTGCACAGACCTGTACTCTTTGTGCAACTTTTATTCTCACAAAGGTGTGTATTTTCATAATGATAGTGCTCATGTACCACTTAACAGTATATTTTCCTCTGGCCCCAGCCACACTTCTGCACAGTAATTTATTACTGCTTGTCAGTAGCTGCTACTAAGAATAATACATATACTGGCTTTATTCAGTGTGTTTAGTATTTCTTGCTTGACTCTTACTTACACAGACAACACTACCGAAGCCCACGAGATTCACAAATCAAAGCAGCCGTTTCTGGGCCTTGCAGCTGCACTTGTTTTGCACTTCCCAGCTTCTTCTCTACAAGATCTAGAAACTTTCATGCATTTATTCTTTTTTTTTTAAATGAAGTGGAGAGCCTAATGCAGTTGCCTGCTCAGGAAGCTTCAAGTGTGCTGTGACTACCTACATGAACAATGAAAACCATGAAAGATGTATGTGGGGATGTCTTAGGGGTCTGCCCATGCTGGTTTTATTGCTTAAGGGCCCGATTAAACCCCATATACCAGGCCCTGCTACTCCAGAAAGCACATCCCTGACATGTTACATGTTATACAAAGGCAACCAGGCCCCAGCCATCTGGACCTGACACCTGCAAAATATCTGCTGTTTTGCTGGACAATGCTACTGGCTGGGAATGGCAGCACTGAGTGCATGCTGCTGAAGTGACAGGACAAGCATGGAGAAGCCTCGTGCAAACACTGGCATGGTGAATCAAGCACGGAATGGTTTGAGTTGGAATGGGCTTTAGAGCAAATCCAGTTCTAACCCCTGCCACAGGCAGGGGCACCTTCCACTAGATCGGGTTGCTCCAAGCCCTGCCCAGCCTGGCCTTGAACACTGCCAGGGATGGGGCAGCCACAGCTTCTTTGGGCACCCTGCGAAGGGCAGGGGTTGTGTTGCAAATTAACTCCAGAGCTCTCTACCTGTGAAGCAGCACAAGTTGCTGCTGTCCCACTGCTGCATTTTAAGCCTGTTGAACAGTGGCACAGCAGAGATTTTAACCATCAGTGTTAAAACCAACATGTTCTGTCAGCACTACCTGACAACCACAGGCTAAAATGAACTCCTTTGCAAAGAGTCCCCAAAACTTGGAGGCCTGTGGGGGACAAAAGCTCCTCCCATTAATCTATATACACAGGAAAATAAAAAATAAAGAGAAGCACCGTTTTATTGTTTGAAACCTTATTTTTTTACCTCGGACTTGGTAAACAAGTGTTTTGCCTTTATCCCTGCTTGTCAGTAGGTTGTAAGCTCTCCAAGTGGATTTTCCACACGTGAAATTCCAAGAAGAATTTTTGTGAAAAACTATCCTTCCTGCAACGAGGCATTGCCTCACCTGCACCTCATTTTCACCAGCAGAATAAGCTGGGCTTTCTGTCGCTGAAGAGGCCCCAAGAAGAACTTGTATCATGACCTGAAGGTGCTTGTACCGCGCTTGTAGCTCGCACCCTGTCCCAACGGCGACCTGATGCCTAGGGGCGCGGCCATGGGCAGCCCGGGCTGGGCAGCGAAAGGGCTGCCCTCCGGCGTTTCCCCCTCCTCATCACAGCCCCGCCTTCCCGCCAGAGCCTTTCTCTCACTCCCAAAGCGCACAAGGGGCACCCGCAGCCTGCTCGGTCACTGACACCACAACGTGACACACACCCCCACCACCGCCTCCCCTTTACTCCCCTCCCCATCCGGGACCAGCCCCCCAGTGCTCCCGCCCCCCGGTGCAGGGGCCACCCAAATCCCGCCGGGCCGCTACCGTTCGCCTTTTTCTCCACCGCCGCCAGCGCGCTCCCACCGACGGTGCCATGGCTGCCCGGCAGCAGCTCGGTAATGCGGGGCCGGCGAGGCCTTGGCTGCCTAGGGTGAACCGCGAGCGCGCGCCCGCCCGCTGCACTTGGAGCAGCCATGGAGGCTTGGGGGTGAGGGGAGGCTTCCCTCCCGCTGGGCTGAGGCGTAATCCGCCGAGTTAGCTAAACAGGGTAGCCCCGGAGGGCGAGGGGCGGTCGGGTGCCGCTCGTCTGGGAGCGGGTTTGTCGCTTCTAACCCGGTAGTTCCTGTGCCCGGAGGGGTTGGGGGCCGCGCCTTTCCCTTTTGGGTGGTTGGTTATACCTTGGCTTGGGTTGGAGCTGGTCGGCGGCCGCCGTTGTGTGGGGAGGAGATGGGACAGCGGCCGGCGGTGAGGGACTGGCCTCCCGCGCTTTCGCCCTGAGGCAGGGTGCGAGGGCGTCTGTGGAAGGGGCTTTTCCGCTGTGGTGTGTGAGGGGCTGGAGGTCAGCTCCTAATTCCCAGTACCTCACATCGGAGAAGATTCACAAGTTACAGAGCTTGCAAAGGCTTCTGACTCTTAATCCTGTTGTTTTCTTTCTCTACTCCACCTTTAAACCCACAATATTTGTGCCTTTCCCACCTGTTAGCTTTGCTCAGTGTCTCTGATAAGACCAGCCTTGTGGAATTTGCAAGGAGTCTGAATGCTCTTGGCCTGGGTTTGATCGCCTCTGGAGGAACAGCCAAATCTCTGAGAGATGCTGGCTTGCCTGTCAGGTACAGACATTTTTTTATACATCTCTACTAAACGTGCTCATTTCGGTCCTAAGGTTGCTTAAATTTTCTCCATTTGTAAGGAAAACTACTCTGAAAACAACTCTTCCCCTCCCCCCCCCAAAAAGAACAACCAACACCGTTTCCTAAGGCAAACTTCAGCACCACCTTGACCAGCAAGGTTGACCTTGGTTAACTTGGTTAACTGAGGCCAAAGAGTGTTACTGTACAGGACAGCACACAGCTATTGAGAGATGGTGCCTTGTCTGTCTTGAGCTGGCTTTTTTCCCTATGAGATGGTCTGTTCTCTTGACATTCATAATCTGCCCCTAGTGCTGCTCTTCAGGGCCCGGTGATCTTTGCGTGGTTCTTGGACAGGACTGACGTGTTAGGAGTATGTTGAAACTCACTGAAGCTTCAACATTTGTTAAAAATAACTTACAATTTGTTACAAAATAATTATTTGTTACATATAATTTTCCCAGCACCATGGTCAACTTTTTGGGTAGAGCCTTCAAGTGGTGTGCACTCACTGTTGCAGAAAGGGCATGTTTTGGCCCATGATTCTGGGGAAATTCGTTCTAGTTTCTTCCATGCTGTGATTAAAAAACAGCTCCAGCCAAACTTGCTTGTGTCTTGCCAACTTCTTTGCTTGGCTGTGCTATCAGTGAAGCCTGAAGCAAAGAATGGTCACATTTGCCCTTCCCTTTCCACTTTGTTGTTCCTTTACCATCATGAGCAGGCACAGGGAGCAGTGAAACTTTAATGTTTTGGCTAAGCTGGAAAGCAGAGTACTGACGTATTACATCTTCTGATTCTCTCTGTAAAACATGTTGAGTTGGGATTTGCTTATCTGGGGTGTTTCGGTGTATTTGAGAAATTACTGCTTAGTTTAGTGTGACCCATTAACTTTATTTCCATTCATGGGAAAAACAGTTGTTGCCCCTTTGGCATGGGAGGTGTGTGTGTATTGAAACCTATGCAATTTTTTTGTTTGGGTCACTGTTACAAAGCTGTGTCCTTTCTGTCTTTTGTCAGATGTAGCTTTTGCACAAGACCAACATTTGGGAAAAGTGAGAGAGCATGAAACCAACATTTTGGTTTTTTCCTCTAATCCTTCTATACCTAGAAGCATTTTACAAACTAGTTGACAGATGCCAGCCATAATAAAAGCAATCAGATGTCTCTTAATGTGTCATCTCAGAACTAGTTCCCAGCCTTCCGCATGAAGGAAGCATCATAGCCTATCACTCAGCACAGGTTTTTCTTAGCAGTTTAGGAATACACCTTCCATATGTTGTGTTCTTAACAAGATACAAAATACTGAAGTTTAGAGGAATCATGCATTTCTTTTCTCTCTAAACTCCCCCTGTCATTGATGGAAAGCTGGTGATTGGTCTTTTTTTTTTACAAACAGACCAAAAGAAAGTTAGGTTTATTTCACCTCCTTACAGCCTTCAAAGCTCCTAGCTTTTAAATCTCCTTGCAGTAAAACCAACATTGCCAGTAGATCTAGATTACTGTCCTAATGGAAATAATAAATATTCAACCTATAGATAAAGTCAGAATGGCACATGTATTATCATGCTATGTTTTCTCATTGTGCAGAGATGTTTCAGACTTGACAGGGTTCCCTGAGATGTTAGGTGGACGTGTGAAAACCCTTCATCCTGCAGTCCATGCTGGTATGTTGCTGCTAATCTCTTTTCAGTCTAAAACAGAATTGAGGGTGGGAAGGGGCTGACAGATGTCTTTATTTTTTAAGGTCTTTGTGGAATAATGAGAACAGATTTGCTCTAGGGGCAGAAGGAGAGGTGAAAAGCACTGGGTGAAGAAGTGCACAGTGGCTGAATTACTTCCTCTGTTGCTGTGCTGGCATCTATGCAGTTAGCAGAGCTTTTCCTCCTCAGGGCTATAAGTAACAGGGCTTCTCTGTAAATGCCTTTGCACATTCTTTGCAGAGTCAATTTCAGAGCTGTTTGGGCAGAGAGCGCCATGGAATTTAACCTGTGGATGAGTCTGGTGTGCAGCATAAGGAACATTGATAGCATAGTCTTTACTTGGTGATTTCTGCATGCTGTAATACTCCTTATTCCTAGGCAGTTTGGGTTTACCCTGTGTCCTCTCTTCGATGGATGGAGGGGCTGAGGACTGTTGTCTGAACTAGAATCAGAAGATTTATGGTAGAAAAACTTTGAGGAAAAACACAGTCTGAAGGAAGATGTTGAATGAAATAAATGATGATGATTTAATTATTTTTCAATTAAGATACACCGTTTTTTGTAACTAGGCATCTTGGCTCGCAATATTCCAGAAGATAATGCTGATATGAACAAACAGGATTTCAGCCTTGTAAGGTAAATACTGGGGGACATCATGCAATCAATTAGTAATCAAAAATGAGCACTGGAAACTAGTCAGTGCCACTGAAAGGGAGCAGAAGGGATTTAATATCTGCATACCAGAAGATCTGAAGACTCCTTTTTCTCTGTCAGAAGATGCAGACTGGTTTGGATTGGAAGGGACCTTTAAGCTCATCCAGTTCCAACCCACTGCCACGGACAGAGACACCTTCCACCAGACCAGGTTGCTCCAAGCCCCATCCAACCTGGCCTTGAACACTGCCAGGGATGGGGGCACCTTCTCTGGGCAGCCTTTACCAGTGTCTCACCAACCTCATAAGGAAATATTTCTTCCTAATAGCTAATCTAAATATGCCCTCTTTCAGCTTAAAAGCATTCCCCCTTGTCCTGTCTCTACAGACCCTTGTCAAAAGCCCTTCTCCACATTTTTTGTTGACCCCTTTAGGCACTGGAGCTGCACTGAAGTCTTCCCAGAGCATTCTTTTTTTCCAGGCTGAGCAAGCTGAGCTCTCTAAGCCTGTCTCCAGAGCAGAGGTGCTCCAGCCCTCTGATAATTTTCATGGCCTTCAACACTTGTAGTAAGAGAGTGTGAGGTGTCCCTGCCCATGGCAGGGGGGTTGGGGAACTAGATGATCTTAAGGACCTTTCCAACCCTAACTGTTCTGTGATTCTAAAACTAAAACAAGAAAGTTATATTCTGGTTTCCACAGGGAGCAGAGATTTTAATTTCTTCTGGTTATCTGGGAATGTTGACACTACATCTAGTCAAGGTTGAACCATATTACACTTGATTCATTTCAGTACTTTTGGAGCTGGTGCATCTCCCATCAGCTTGGCTCTGGGTGCATGACAGTTCCTGGTTTTGAAATACTTGCTTAGTAAATATACCCTTTGATATTTGCATAATGTTTGCTGAGTTTCGACATGTAAATGAAGAGTAGACAGGAAAAGACAGCCAGGAACATGCAGCATTTGTACAAACAGAAAACACACAGATAACAGGAAACTTACTTTCCAAGAGCCATTGTGGGAGCAAGTGACCGGCAGCGAGGAACTGAAGTAACAGTTTGTGCACTAACATACCAAAGATTTTCTTCCAGTTTTGTGAGAATTTGTTTACTCAGTACACTCATGCAGGGTAGTTTGGGACTATTTTTAACTGCCTGGTTTCAACATCTCGCTAGAAATTGTGAGTAACCAATTCTGTGTTGGTGGGTAGCTCCTGATTTAGAAACAGTAGCTGAAGGGAACATAGTAAAGGGTGGGAGGTATAGTTTGACTGTGGTGATTGGGCCAAAATGCATCTTTGCTTTTAAAATTACTTTTAAAAACTGACATGCCTCAGATGGATTTCCAGGCTGAATTTGAAACCTGAACTTTAAAACCACAAGACAGCTCCGCAGCAGTAGCTCTTCAGAGTATGCTGCATATTAAATCAGGCTCTGCTGGATTCCAGGGGGAGTAACATGCCTTTACATAAGTGACTTACAGTGCACTTGCATTTGAAGTAACAATTTGTATTTAGATTGTCTTATATAAAGCAGAAGGAGCTGATGCTCAGCCAGAGTGTCTTATGCATGGTTGCATAAAATTTAAATTCCCAAGTCAAGGTAGGAAACCTTGGTATTGGTTTATCTTGATTTCCACAGATGAAAGAATTAGCAGTGTTAAAGTCCACAGATGGTTGGCAACAGGTCAGGAACATGAATGGATTGGGGGAGAACAGACAATAAAAGACACCGTATGAAATTCAGAGACATAGAGGGTTCTGAAAACCATACTGGAAGCTGATCATCCCTTGAGTTCATCATACAGTATGGAAACAAAGGAATATTGAAAGTTGGACACAAGTGTATGCATCACAGCAATTTGCTGCCAATACTGCACATGCATGGGAGTTCAGTGCCTTCATATATTCAGATCAAGAGGGTAAACTAATTCACTTGGATGAAAAACATTGTGAAGGTCAAAAAATGTACCTTCATTCATTGCAGTTCGTGTGTCACTGGTAGGATGGGACAGTGCAAGTTATTACTTCATGCTTTCTGGAATAGACTGCAGCTTCTTCCAGATCAGATGAACAAACTAATTCCAGCAAGGTCCAGTCTTGTCTTGAGAAGGGAAAGTCAGTTCTCCCCCTTGCTTTCATGTAATCCAGAGATTTTTATGGGATCCAGGCTGTGCACTCAGGCGTCATATGCTGTTGGTATTTTAAAAGTCCACAAGGTGATATGTAGGTCATCTTCTACTCTAGGAGAAGTTGTGGAAAATGAGATTGTACTTTGTTTGCAATGGACCTTGCCCTGGGTGCTTACTCTCTTACAACAGTTGGTGGATGCCTATTTTCAGCACTGCTGAGAGCCCACTTCTAAGCCCTTTGAAGTGGGTCAAGTTGTACACCAGAGTCACTAAACATTTAAGTACAGACCCAGGTGTTTAAAGAAACTCTTAGAACCACAATTTACAGAAGATAGTTTATCTGCTGTAATATTGTTTAGTGCACACAGTTCAGCTGAATTTCATAATGCATTGTACCATCAGCCGTTGGCTGAATGCTGCTGTCTCTTAAGTCTTTTAGAGAAAGAAGCCTTGGCTGCAGCATTTTGTGCTGGTCCCTGATCTAAGAGAGAAACAAGACAAACACACTATGGTAGCCTGTGCATGCTGAGCCCAATTTGCAGGTTTTATGTCTTTTTGATTAACCTTACATTTTCTCTCAATTCTCAGAGTTGTAGTGTGTAACCTTTACCCCTTTGTGAAGACTGTATCTTCTCCAGGTGTAGCTGTGCAAGAAGCAGTGGAAAAAATTGATATTGGTAAGTTAAAGGGAGAGCAAATCTATTCTCCAGGCATACCCGATGTTCTGGTCTCTTTAAGTGGTCTCTATTGTTTCCTTTTCATTTGGTATCCTTGCACACCCATAAAGGAAGTCTTCTAAGTTGCTCAGGAGTTGCAAGGGGCAGACTGAAAGCATAGTTGGGTAAACCTCATTGCTTTTAAGCAGATGTATGGTTAAAGTGGCAAGTGGCTGCTGCACAGGTTTGCAAGCTGCTGCATAGGTGGGCAAGTCATACATGCCCAGAAGCAGCCTGATGTACTGTAGAAGGCTGTACTAAAAAAGGCCAGGTAGAGCATGCTTCCTACTAAACACAGCAGATTATACCTCTTTTGCTGTGTATGGCAGTGTCATAAAAATAAAAACCATGAGCTTTGGAGAGGAAAAGTTGAACCACTGAAAGCTTTGGGTATTGCTGAGGAATTTGCTGCAGGAAGCTGTTACAAGGAAAGGGGTTGGTCTGCATATATGCAAAAGTAGTTGGAACCTGTGTTTGGAAGCATGGACACCTGTATCATCAGCAGTTTTGCTCTTTCTGCTAGTTATTAACTAGTTATTAACCCCATAAGGCTTGCTGTTTCTTCAGTGCAGCAGCTCTGGTTGGCAGCTTGTCAACAGTACAGGCACACTTCTGTACCATGAAGTTGGATTGAGATTGAATTTTCTTGCAGTAGTTTAGTTCAAATGATGCCCAGCAGAGCTCTCTATTAAATAATTTATGGAGTAATGTGCCAGCTTCTACTTTTCCTTTGCAACAGCCTAGTATCTCTTATAATTTAAACTGTTGTAATAGTTGTGCAGAGTCACATTTAAGGGGGAAGTGTGGCATTTTATTTTACACAGAGGACCTGGGCGAGAGTTGTTAATATTTGCAGAGAGCTTTGAGAACCTCTGTTGCTTGGCAGCATAGAAGCAAATCTTCCTATAGAGCCCTCCTCAGCCCGTTGTTGCAGAGGATGGTGCTTAAATGGTAAATGGAGATGAGCCATCTTCGTTAGGATGTGGTTGTGCTACTTGATATTTTTGCCCCAGCTGCTGAGTGCAGCCTGGGACCTGTTTCCTTCCTCTGTCTCTCCAGCTGCAGCTCTGCCTGTGTCTCTAAAGGCCAGTCACCAGTGAACAGAGTCAAACTCACCAGCCTTGTGCATTTTGGAGAGTACCATTGCAGTCCCTTCTTGCTGGAGAGAGGGAGGCACATTCATCAGGCACAAATGATCCATTGGTGCATGTGCTTTCTTGGCTTCAGATGTGGCTGCTGTTGCCGTGTCCAGAAGGGAAGTGCTTCATGCCTCCGTTCTTCTCTTGCAGGAGGAGTTGCCTTGCTGCGGGCAGCTGCCAAGAACCATGCTCGTGTGACAGTTGTGTGTGACCCAGCAGACTACTCTGCAGTAGCAAAAGAGATGGCAACATCAAGGGACAAAGACACTTCCATGGAGACCAGACGTCACCTTGCACTCAAGGTTTTTTTATTTGCTTGCAGTGAAGGGCTAAGCCAGACTCGATTGCCTTTAAATACCAAATCCTTTTTAAGTTGACAAATGTTCCCTGTTCTGTCCCCAGGCTTTCACTCACACTGCTCAATATGATGCAGCCATCTCTGACTACTTTAGGAAGGAGTACAGCAAGGGGGTGTCCCAGCTGCCCCTGAGGTATGGTATGAATCCTCACCAGAGTCCTGCGCAGCTCTACACGATGAGATCCAGACTTCCTGTGACAGGTGAGGCCTAGGCCATGCTGGCCAAGAGGGAGCTCTGAGATAGCTAGGAAAGGAGGTGCTTGGGCACATCTGCTTGTTGTCTTTAAAACTGAAACATCACCTTGTACTTTAGTCCAAAGGATGGCAAGCAGTGCCTTAACAACTACTTTATTACTGGCACTAGCTTTGCAATGGAAAGGTGGAGCTGTGTGAGACAGAAAAGCCTGTCTGCTGCAAGACTTGCTGTAGCTCTGCATTCGCTATTGGTGTAGGATGGTGTGTCCAAACTGAAGAAAATTGGAACAGATTTACGTAATGAACTTTCTGATTTACAATCAGATCCGGATTTTGTGAAGGACAACCTCCTCATCCTTTTAAGATCCTTTGCTACTTCCTGTTTTTTTTATTTGTCTTCCCAGGTTTTTTTGCCACCATTTACTCTGCCTAGAAACTAAGCTGTTTTCTCTAGGCTTGAATGGGGTTTGTTCTTTTGTCTATTTATTTATTTGTTTATTTGATGGTTTTGAGGAGAGTTTTTTTTTTACCTTGGCATTTTAAACTCCTGCTTCTGCTGGTGATGGCAGAGGGAAGGGATACAAGTCTCACTCGCAAGAGTTTGAGACATGTCTGGTGTGTATCTGCTATTTTGCAGGGTGTGCCACCCATGACAGCGTTGTTGCATTAAGGGATACCCCTGTTTTGGAGAGAAAGAAGGTCTGGCTGCTCTTCTTGAGTTGCCATGTTGGTACAAGCAGTTCTTGCAGAGCCAGGGCAAAAGGTTTTGAGAATAGACTTTTAAATGGGCTTCATGCTTGGCATGTATTTCTGGTGAAAGGATCAGATCAAGCATTTTAATACAGACTTGCCCTAAATTTTGTGTTTATGAGTGGTTCTGTTGACATCAGTTAGAGACAATGTGTGCTTAAAGTTTGATTAGTGCCAGACTACTTGTTGAATCAGAGCCATCGTCACTATATGAAATTTATATACTATATTTGTAAAGAAATCTACCCTGCTAGTGGATGTGCTTTTTGTATTCTTCCCTAACAACTCTGGCTATGCACCTTGATCAAAATCAAGTTCTGGCAGACTTCCACAGAAAGAGATAGCTCTTCTTCCAAATGGCTGCCAGTTGAAGAACTCAAATAACATAAGGGAGATGTTCTTTGTTCCCCTCTCACAAGAGCGAATGTGCATAGGGACAGTGTGTGTCTTGCTCCAAGGTCGTATTAACAGCTTCAGTTAAGGAAGAGAATTGTATTTGCATACATTTGTTCCCAGTCTCAAGCCTGTGCGTTCCTTACAAGACACTGAGGCTTTTCAGGGTTAACCAGGTGCTTAGGAGCTAGTTTATCAAGAACAATTCATAGCTATTTTGGTTGTTGGGGGGAGAAATCTCTTCTGCTTGCTCTCCAGACTCTGGGGAGAGGGGTCTGCCTGCTTTAAAGCGTCTATTTGTGTGCTGTGTTTGCAGTGGTGAGTGGCTCTCCAGGGTTCATCAACCTGTGTGATGCTCTCAATGCCTGGCAGCTGGTGAAGGAGCTCAAGCTGGCATTAGGCATTCCTGCTGCAGCCTCCTTCAAGCATGTCAGTCCTGCAGGTAGGGTGGCTCCATGTTGCCATGCTTTTCTCTTTGAATAGACTTCAGCTTTTGGCAGGCCTCGTCAGCGGTGTATCAGTGTCCCTTACCCTGGCAGTCCAGGGAGGTCCCAGGACTGAGTGCCCTGGCTTGTATTTCCCACTAGGTGCTGCTGTTGGAATACCTCTCAGCGAAGAGGAGGCGCAAGTCTGCATGGTGCACGACTTCCACAAGACTTTAACACCCTTGGCATCTGCCTATGCACGAAGCAGAGGTGAGAAGTCCAGGAATAAACTAGTGTGTCCAACGAGCTGAGCTGAATTCTCAGCACCTAAACAGCATGCTTAGCACTTGGCAGGCTCTTCCCTTTGCATTGTATTCCTCCTCTGTATGGTTTTTTTCCATAAGGCTCTTACTGACTGAATTAAATGTCTATCGAGCATTGTTTTCCATATGAGCAGACCTATTGTTTCAAAGAGGCCAAAATAATTTTGGGTTCTGTTCCTTAATATATATAGAAGATGTGTAGATTTTATTTATTTAATTAAACATGTATATATGCTCATATTTGTATAAATCTGTGAGGTTTTGGCTAAAGGATTTGGATAAACAGCTGTGCTGGTAGCACACCCAGCTTTCCACTGCAGATGGGGTGCTCAGGAGTACTTATTTGGAGTAGAAATGTTTCTGCCTGGTATTTGGTGGGTGCTTTTCATGCTTTTGTTCTTCAGAGCTCACAATCCACCCGCCCCACCCCCAGAAATAAGTAAATAACAATAGCTTTCTCAGCTAAGATACTTTACTAATTCTCTCATTTTTCCATGGCATTCCTGGAAAATCTGCACAGATGAGAGATAACAAAGCAAACTTACTTGACAAGGGGCACATCGGCTTGGGTTCACTTTTCACCCTTTAAAGACCACCTTTGAATGTTGCACCCAGAAAGCCATTGCATGATTGATTGATAGAAAAATAAACCTTTAGAATGGCAGGGACAGAAGAATTGTCCTTGCTAAGTAGCAGAGCATCTGTGGTGAGAGCTGAGTTCACCTTAGCTATGTCATTAAATATACACAATGTCTATTAAAAAAATTTTAGCTACTTTTCTGGCTCTGGTTTCTTACAGGAGAAGCCAGATGGGAGCATAGGCAGCTAAAAGCTTTCTTTTTTTCCAACTATCTCCCATCTAAAGCTTTTCTGCATGACTCTTGCCTTGTCCTCTTGCCACCATGGCTACAGCATTGCTGTTTGTGGGGATGGAGGTGGTCATTACAGAGTTAGAGCTCTGACAAAGGCAGTAGAAAAGAAAGAATATCTGAACTGTTGGAATATTGAAAGGTGCATGTGTTTGAAGTAGGATTTTTCATGCTTGTTGCTCTTACATGGTCTCGTATTTTTGCTGTAGGATTAAATTATTAGCTCTCAAGGCAATGGACTATGTTGTAGGAGCAAAGACTTTTCTTTGTGTTATGCTAGAGTTTGATAAGTTGCTGAAGATCCGATTTTTCAGGTGCTGACCGGATGTCTTCTTTTGGTGATTTCATTGCCCTGTCTGACATCTGCGATGTGGCTACAGCCAAGATCATTTCCAGAGAGGTTAGTTAAACAGCAACAAAGCCTTTGAGTGTAAAAATGAGAATTGCACTAGATGAAGTCATTGGTTTGTAACAGCCATTCTGTTTGAATTTGATCCATTTTACTCAATACTATTGGTCCGTTTGTGTAAGTCTGTATCCAGAGGGCAGAATTTACACCTATCTTTTGATACATTTTTCTCCCTACCAGATAAAACCTAGATGTGTGCTAGAGCCTGTGAAACAGCAGTGCTTGAAATGCTGTTTTCAAGGAGGTGATTGGAAACCTCAGCTTCTGAGTAGGCCTCCGGAAATGAGCCTTGATTACTCTGTCACAAGTATCTGACTGGTTGAAGGGCTGTGAGTAGAATAGGACTGGAGAGCTGATGGCCAGCCTATTGCCCAAGGCAGGAATGTGGCTGTGTATTGCTACCTGCCAGTTGATACAATTTGTGTGTAGGCTCAGCCACTTCCCAGGCTCTACTTTTTACTTTGCTGGATTCAACATGAACTCCGTAGCTTACTGTATTGCACAAGTCTCTAGTTTACATACAAAGTTAAACGGGAGTTCATGCTTTGCCAAGCACCTTCATCCCATTATATGTTGCTTACAATGTTTTTTTGAGAGGGGGAAATCACAATGAAAAGGGCTGTCTTGTACACTGGAGGCTTATTTTCAGCCAAATGACAGAGCACATTTGACTGGATTGTGAGGAAAACGTTTGGTATACTATTACTTAGAAACAAATAAAACCTCACCTACATTGTAGGATAAGAATGGGAAAGGTGTGTATCACTTCACGGAGCTGATGAATGGAAACTCTCCTCAGTTTTAAGCTGTTAACAGCTCTTAGGCCACTATTTTTGTCTCATTAGACATGTCACTCTTGAAATAAAGATCTATTTTTTTAAGCCATCTTTACTGTTACGGCTTTAAAGTAGGGATGTTGTACATGAATTTTCCCCCCCCACCTAAAGAGGAATATTAGTTATTAGTTCCATTCTGCTGAAAGTGATGGTGGCTATTTTTTACTAAGTCCTACCAAGAGCTTTCTGCACTCCCCTGTTTCTCCTTTCCAGAACAGAAACCAAAGCTGTAATGGTGCCTTTCTTATATGGTACATACAGACACAAAGAGGTGTGCCTTCAGTGCTTTTCTGGAAATGGCATGTGGAGCTTTCAGTATTAGCCCCTCTTTTTTTCACATGGAAGTTGAAATCTGTGTGTTACAGGTATCTGATGGTGTGATAGCTCCTGGCTATGAGGAAGAAGCTCTCAAACTCCTTTCCAGAAAGAAGAATGGTGGTTACTGTGTCCTTCAGGTTTGTATTCCAGCTCCACTGTAACCCCGTACCTGCTTTTCACAGAAGTTAGTGTCCAAATAGCTGGGAGGGCTGATCCAGGTCCCTCTACAGTGCCCAGAAGTGTTTCCTTTGGGCCTTTGGGGATTCCTGTATGAGCTGCAATTCCACCAGCAGTGTTGTAGTAATGTCATTATAAAATTACTCCCCTCTATGACTGTAATGACTTCCTTGGCTTTCACAGTGACGTGGATTTAAAGTAATTGAGTCTATGACCAGCCAGAGTACTTCAAAGAGATACAATTTCTGTGCTCTCTTTCCAGCTTTCCTCTCACTTCTCCTGAATTTGTTTTCTCTCTGAATTCTTTGTATCTAAGAAATAGTGTCTCAGTGATGTTGTGAGTCTTATCACTGGGAGAACTCTTGTCTGGGCATGGGGTGGTTATAGGTCAGTCTACACGACAGTCAGTGATGAAGATAGCAGCACAGGGAGAGATTGGATCTGGGATGATGCACCTTTACATACTGCAACCAGGATGCTTTTCGAGAAATACTACTATAGTGTGGTCAAGTCAGTATCAGTTTGCCTTCGTAGTTTCTGCGGTGATTCTTAGGACTTCAAAATCATCCAGTTTTGGTGAACATGACTAATGGATTACAGAGTGCTCTCAGCAGCCAGACAGGTCCTATTTTTGCCTGACTCCGAGAGACAAATGAGCAGAGAATTTTGCTATAGTGCTACAAAAAGAAAATCCAAGGCTTAGCTGAAGCTGCAGTTGTAGTGTTGCTTACTACCAGGAGAGCTGTAGAAGATGGCTCAGGAGCTTCAGGCAAGAAGGAATGAAATGGCAGACAATCTTTGCAGATGATTGCTTCCTGAATTCAATTAGCTTTGCAAGGATGAGGTTGTACTGCTTGACCATGTATCTTCAGGGCCTGTCTGCAGAGGGATGCTAAGAAAAGTTGGTCAGAACAAATGTAAACAGATTATGGAAACCGCATTCAGAGGTGATACCCTTAATCCAGTTTACTTCATGTCTCAATAACCTGAGGCTACCAAAATTCTAAATAAGCCCATGCAGGGTAGACCCGAATGCAGTTTGTAACAGTTCCATTTAACTTTACCCCTTACACTGCTGCATGCTTCTTCAGAGAAGTGCCCCAAGAGAGTGCATTTCTGGAAACAGGCACAATCTCTTTTCCCTTGAATGTCAAAGAGGGCTGGGAGTTGTACCTTGTGGCATGTACGAAATAACTCAGAAATGTTTCTACTTTCCTGTGCAAGACTACAAGACTCTCTTTGTGTGGATGTCTTCCCCTTTCTGTGCCAGCCTAGAAGAGTTTGTAGATATTATGGCTTGCAATGTGAACGTTTGTATATAAACATCTCTACTGCATTACCTCTCTTCACCCTGTACTTTGTGCTGTTGAGACCTTGCTGCTCCAGTTGCTTCTAATTATTTCTGATGATTTGACATTGCTTTCCGTGAACAGTTCACTACTTTTGTGATTCCTTAGATAGTGCATTTTAACTGAAGCTGTTAGTAGATGTAGGCTTTTAATTGCTCTAAGAGCGTTTTATTGGCTTCTCCTTTGGCTTGTAGATGGATCCCCATTACGAGCCAGACGACAATGAGATTCGAACTCTTTATGGCTTGCATCTCATGCAGAAGAGGAACAATGCAGTCATCGACCAGTCCTTGTTCAAGAACATTGTTACAAAGAACAAAAATGTAAGTGTCAGGAGATGAATGAGCTTAAATCCTGGTGGAATGAGCTGGTGTGCTTTCGTGGAGGAAGTCAGCACTGGTTTGTTTTAAGAGCTCTTAAAATATTTTGATGAAATTTAATTGGCTTTTAAATTGTTTTGACAGTGCAGCAAATTTCTGGGCCAAATATACTTGTGTAAATCAGAGTAGTTTGCCTTTGGTTTGATTCCTTGCATAAATAAGAGGAGCTGAACCTTGCCTTTTATCTCAGACTAGCAAAATATTTGTATTTCTTATAAGTAAGAAACTACTGTGTGATTTCTTATGGTGAGACAGCCATGTGCTAAGGATCTCTTGTGATCTCATTCTGACCCACTGTTTAGTTCTTCCTTTTGTGTTCAATGTGTTGTGTAAACCCTGGCCTTGCTAATACTGGTCACATTATCAGGAAGTTATCAGTTATTTCTTTGTCTTTGATCTTGTTATCGTTAAAAAACAGATGTTAATGAGCATGTGATTAATCCTGGGCTCAGAAGCAAGTTCAGGCATTGAGGTAATAAAAATAAGCTTAGTAAATTAGTAATGGAACAGACTTAATAATACTTCATGAAGATGTTGAGCTCTATTGTTTTGTGGTGGTCTAGTGTGTACTTCAGCATGTGCTTAGCTTTTTACCTATAAGCACATCTGATGTCAATGAGTGAGTACAGAAGACTTTGCAGGCTTAATGCCAATGATGGAGCCCTCTTGACCTGGTAAGATTGAGTCATAGAATCAACTAGGTTGGAAAAGACCTTTTAAGATCATCAGCCATTACCCCAGGACTCCCAAGACCATCATTAATCCCTATGAGCTATGAGATCAGCTGCCAAACCAATCATTTACAGTTTTTAATCTAAACAAAATTTGATGGTAATTGAACCAGACAGGATCTTTTTAGTTACCTTGTTTTCCCTGTCCATGGTACAGTACTTGTGATGGCTTTGGGGGTTTGCAGATCACTGGCACATGGCTAGTCATGGTTGTTGACAAGTGTTTTGTTTCAGCTGCCTGAGTCTGCTGTCCGAGACCTGATTGTTGCCAGCATTGCTGTTAAATACACCCAATCCAACTCTGTTTGCTACGCCAAGGATGGGCAGGTAACTGAATCGGGCAGCTCTCTGGAGTGTGGTTGCACAGCCAAGCTGGTCAGATAACGCTTTTGTCAGGTTTGAGTTCTAAAAGCATTTAGCATACAGGAAGCTATTAAACAGGTACAGATGAACTGCCCTAGACAGCACCATACAGGATGGCAGCTAGACATTTGTTTCTCAAGAGGCTGCTTCAGAACCTTGGTGTCCTTTATTCATGGTAATGACTGGGCCGATTCTTTCAGGGGTAGGGTTGGAAAAGCTCTTATGTGCTTCTGCAAGTCTGGCCTTGAGTCATTTCTTTTTAACTACTTTGTCCTTTTATATAATTTTTTGAGGGCATATGCATATGTTGTTGTCTGTATAGAGCCTTAGGAAATTATAGGAGTTTTCACAGATGGATTCTCACTGTCTGAATGGCTCTTAGTTTGATTTTTCACTTCTTATATAAGAAAGATGGGGTATGTTTTACTTTTACCCTTTGGAGCATTAGAAATCTTCCTTTCTCTCTGATTTAAAAATTTATGATAAATAGGATTTATGGGGCATTATGAAATGTGTAGTTGAGATACGACTTGAGATTTGAGTTGAGACTCTTGAATCTTAAACCCTAAAATCAGTTAACAAATCAGTTGTCCTAAAGTTGTTGTAAATGTATTACAAAATGGATTTTTGCCCAGCAGCCTGTTCTCATAATGCTGTTCTTTAGCTGGTTCTCTGCTTTCTATGGTAACTTTTCCAAGGGCCTGCATTATTTTTTAAAAGTACAGAATTCAAGCCAAAGAATGTTTCTGATGTTAGGCTTTGGTACATCATAAATCAGCAAAATGGATCAAACAGTGTTCTCTGCAGGTGCAGCCTGTGAGTGAGCTGCAGTGCTGTCCTTCCTGCATTGGTACCCATCTGCATTTGTCAGGTTGTTGTTACAGCCTGGAAACATTGCAGAGCTGTCTCACAGCTCTTGCTGGGGTCATACGTTGTATGGTTCTTGAAAATAAACATCTTTGGATATCTGGCATTTTTCTTCTATTCAGATTTGGGATTTTTTTTTTCCCCCCTTGGTTTTAAATGGTTCTCTCTCCTCAAGAGTGTCAGTTCTTGTAGTCCCCGAACAAAGGTGTCACTATCTTTGCTCCTTTTCCCGCATTACAGCAGCAATTTCCCCAGTGCTTTTGCAAGTCTGGACATAACATGGTGCTGCAGATGTTACTGAAATGTGTGTGGTAATGTGTGTACCATATGGAAGGGATAAGGCATGAGGGAAGAGTGAAAAGCAGTGTGGGCAGGCATGGATTTAACTAGTTGGGCTTCAGTGCTGTTGTGCATATTTGCAGGCATACATTTTAACTGAATACACATGTGCATTGTCTTGGTTTGCTGTATGTGTGACAGGGAAGGTCAAGATGAGAGCTCTGTGTGCTGCACAAAGAAACAAGTGATTATTTTTTTTACCAGTAAAGGTCAGCAGCCGTTCCAATCACTTACTCAAGGAGGTGGTGAATCTGCACTGAGGTCTTCAAATCAAAGCTTGACATCTTCCCAGGGAGACTCATTACAGTCCAAATGCAGAAACAGCAGTGACACATGCTGCAGGTAGTGATGGAGGAGCTCAAATGGGAGCTTCCTTCTGGTTTTAACATCTCCAAAAGCTTCCTGAGGCTGTTAAGAGCCCTGTTCTTAAGGTATAAATGGGGAAAGAAATAAGGTCCATGGAAATCCAGTCTTACTAAGTGGTTAGCTTAGATCCATATTGGTGCAGAAGTAACTACTGGTTGTATCACTTAGCAAGGCATAAGTTGTGTACAGGAATATTTGGATGCAAACCAATAGCACCATCACCAGGGATGGAAAGCAACTTCCAGAGTGTTATGCTTAAAGCTTTTCCAGGATCTGACTTTGTTGGGGTTACATGAGCCAAGCCTGGGAAGTCTAGCTTTCCTTCACTGCTTTTGGTTTTCCAGGGCTTATTTCAGCCTCCCAACATCCCCATTGCCAAGCAAAGCTCTTGTGTATCACACACCCAGAACGCTTTTGACAGCTTTGCTGGGTTTTGAGTGGATTGACAGCTCCAGCAAGGGCTGGTGTTGGTGTTAATAAGTTCTAGGAAAGCTTTTGTGGACTTGAGTGGCACTTAATTTGCAGGAAGCCAGCAGCCACTAATTGCACATGTTTCGTCCGACTTTCAGCACCCACAAAACCAGTCTGTAGCATGTTGATTTACCATTTTCTAATGTATAATCAGGTTTCAAAGTATCAATTGAGAATTCTTCTCTTTTGTATTCTCTGCACAGTAGGATTAAACAAACCTGTTAATTTACCTTCCTGTTTTCCACCAGTGGTGCAGACATTTGTCAGTAATCTCATTGTTCTGTCTTCCCAGTTGTGAAGTCCTTCACTTGATCTTTGTAACATCAAATGTATTTAGGGGTTTTATTTTCACATTTGGGGTAAATCTTTTGAGTAAATCCAGGCCAATCTGGATCATTTTGCAATGATCCTTTGGGCATTATCCATCTTGTCTGCTTTTGCACAGTATTCCAACTACGGGGCATGTTTGGCTGTTCTGTGAGCCAAAGTGTTTCGGTGAAGTAGTTCTCAATTTTCACCCAAGCTTTTCTTTATGAAGTGATTTTTTTCTACTCAGCCTGTATTCTTGTCTCCTGCTACTCCTCACACTTACTAGTCCCTGCTTAAGCACTTCTTGATTCCCAGGACATTAAAGTCTGAAAAAAACATAGTTCATTTTTGTGTAGAAAAAAGGCAGAAAATTGAAGGTGAAGGATTCCTTTGTGAAAGATTTTGAGGTTTCAGCTATGGTTTTGTATGGTGGAAAGCCAACATTTGAGGAAGGGAGAGAGATTTTTACTTTACATGAAATGAAAAAGGCAGAGAACAGGTACATTCAGACAGTGTGAAGAGAGATTCAGGTACAAGTCTATAGTTTGCATTGAGCAGAAGCTCAAGACTTCTGATTTCTTCTGTCTAGACCAGAAATTCCAGACTGCACTGAGGAAATGCTCCCCACCATGCTGTGTTGCATTGGAACACGTTTTCTGCACAAAAAGGATTTCACTTCCTCTGAATCGGCATTTTTCAGTGAAAAGCATCTTATTCTCCTGGGCTGTAGCTGTGAACATACTTCTAGGACAATATGGGTTTATCAGAAGGAGGCACAGAGAAGCGGCTTTTGTATTCTCTTGCCCATTAAGCCATTACAAAGTCAGTTCTGCGTGGTGCAGGTAATATCTCTGTAGATTTGGGGTGCCTGTGAAGAGTTTTCAGGATGCATCACTTCAACTGAAGTACAGAGTTCCTGCCATTTTGGAGTTGTTGAACATGAGCCAAGTTTTTAAGCCTCTTTTGACAAAGTTTTTTAAAATGCAACATTTTTAGTAGCTTAGAAAAGGCTAACACTCTTGTTGAGGAGAGTGCTGACAGGTAGGAAAGCTGTACCTCTGATGTGTGCCCGTGTATGAGCTGTGTGTGGTTGGGGCTGCATTGGCCTGGAAACTTTTGGCACACCATTGCCCTTGCTGGCTGAAGGCCAGGGCTTGTAGCAGACGAGCCAGTCCATCACAGGAGTGCAGGGCCACAGCTCACAAGTACATGATGAAGGTGAGGCACCATTCTGGCACAGGACATTGCACTTTTGGCACATGACATCACATGAAACTTGGGAATGTTTCATGGTATTTTGGTCCCCGCTACCAGCAGCCTGTCCAGTACTCTTCACCATCTGCAACCTCAGCTACACATTTCTGCCTTGGCAGTGCTAGGCCCACTCTTAGGGGCTGCCTAAAGGTGTATGACAATTTTAAGCCCTCTCCTTTGTCCAGGGTGAGAGGCTACATGTGTTTGGAAGAAATGATGTACCTACATGCAGCTGGTGTGCATCATGTGAGGTGCAGGGTCTCCTGTGCATTTGAGGGTTAAACAAGTTGGACATGAGAGCAGAGGTTGGACGTCAGGAGTGTTTGTAGAGGGGAAGGTGTCACTAAGCCATGGGAAACTTTGCATCTATTTTGTATTTATGATAATACTAATGTCCTTGTGGGTATGTTAAGCACCCATGACTTCAGTTATAGCTGAGCAAATGATACTAGATAGGAGCCCAAGTCTCTGATTTGCTCCTTGGGCTACTAGTATCCAGCCGCGTGCTTTACAGTTCTGGTAAGAGGTGAAGTCACTGTCTTGATGAATGAGAAGACAAATGATTCATTCCTTTGAGGGCACCCTTTGACTTACAGCTTTACCATCTGTTTCAGTCTGAGCTGGAAAATCAGAGGCATTGGCCAAAACTGCTAGTAGCCTCAACACAGTATCCCTGGAGCAATCCCCATGCAAAGAGTCTGGTGAACAGTTCAGCTATGGCTTCATAGCAGGAGGAAATTACAGGAGAGACGTGTTTTCTGTCAGATCCCTGGTTTGAAAATGGCAGGAACTGCCTTTGGAAAGCAGAACCCACAGCTCTGAAAGCCATGGAGAAAAGTTACCAGCTTGAGTTTGACAGCTGTGATGGCCAGGTCTGGGGTCTGGCCTTTGTGTGCCTGGCATACGGTCATGGCAGGGGCAAATCTGAGGGACAGCAGGCAGTCTGGAGCCCAAGAGACCTCAGCTCAGTCCCTTGGACTTGTCAGTTGTGAGTGCAGGCAGACCACATCTGTAAGGGGTTGTTCTACCAGTGTCCATAACCAAGATGTCTCCAGCCGCACTCAGTGTCAGCACCTAAGATGTGCCTTTGTCTCTGAGGGGACACAAGAGCTTGTTTGCAGTGTGTATTGAATTGTGACAGATGGCTTGCAGTGACCTGACCATTGGACTCCCAAGAGTTTCTATGTGCTTTAATCTGTAGGGTACCTGAAAAAATGACAGAGGTTGAATGTGCCTGAGAACTCCTAGGAAAGTGGTCTCATAAAAGCAAATGGATACTAAGCAAATGCAGTATTTTCATAGCACCTGCTAGGAGAAAATAGAAAAATCACCTTTTGTGTTTAGCTTCTGGAAGCACTGGGTCTGATATCAAATACAAGTGCCATTAAATAAGGTTAGCTGCAGGTATTCTAAAAGCCCCAAGTTCTCGGGCACATGGCAGAGTAGGAAGTGTGTTGGTAGCTCCAGGATCTTGACAATTCATGCAACGCAATGGTTCTACTGACCAGCCTCCCCCACTGGGCAGTGGATTTAGTTTGTTATGGACAGAAAAACTGCCCTGTAATCCACTACACACCACAGCTGATCTCTTCAAGCTGTGTATGCCTGGCCTACAAGGAAAGTTGATAGTGTTTGGGTGACCTGGGCTCAGACTTTAATCCTCTAACTGGAGTGCCCCTTTCAAGAGCTGGTAGGCACCCTACCATTTCTCTTAGCAGTCACATTTGTTTCTGCAACCAACAGGGTTTTGTTTTGCTTGAAACAAAAGCTGTAATTGTATCCCCCTCCCGAGGTGAACAGTTTGACTCTGATGGCGGGGGCTGTGTTGTTTAGAAGGATGAAAGAACGTGGTGGCTTTCAGCTCAGCAGAGCCCTGAAGTGAGAGTGCAGAGAGCTGACCCTGTCGCTGCTTTACAGCAGAGGGGATGCAGGTATTTTCCTGGTTTTTCTCAGTAATTACCTACATTCCTGCTCTGCTTCAGTGAGGAGCAGCTGATTTGTGGGAGTCCTTTCCTTATTGCTTGGCTGAAACTGCAGCTCTGATTGTGGTCCCTGTGCAGCAAGATGTGACTGTGCTTTGTCCCTCTCTACTGCAGGTCATAGGTATTGGAGCGGGCCAGCAGTCCCGGATCCACTGCACACGGCTGGCTGGGGACAAGGCAAACAACTGGTGGCTGCGGCACCACCCATGGGTGCTCTCCATGAAGTTCAAAGCAGGTGTGAAGAGAGCAGAGGTCTCAAATGCCATTGACCAGTATGTCACTGGGACCATTGGTGAGGTAAGGGCTGGCTGAGGGGTTTCCCTGGAGATTCCAGCTTCTTTGTCTTTATGTAGTAGTGGCTTGAGTTTTGTGGGTGTGGGTAACAGATGATCCCAGAGATCAAGTGGCCAGGGCCCAGAATGGTGACTTCCCTTATAGCATAGTGGCAAAGTGCCCCTGTGATACTGCACCCACTGCTTCTGGTGCTGGAACCTGCCCTGCGCTTTCGTGTGCAGCATAGTTTCATCTGATAATTCCCCCCAGCAGTAAGGAAAGGTTAAAGTTAATGTCAGTGGCACCTTCTCACATGGTGCTGTTTGTTTGTGTGGCATTTCTGGGTTCTCAGAATCCCTCTGACCTCCCAGTTACAAGCAGTAGTGAGGCAAGAAAATAGTATGTCCTTTTTAAGTATTGAAAGCCAAGAGCAGGATTAGGCACCTGGTGATTCATCAATAAGGGGTTGAGAACTGCTGTTCAGAAGGTGAATCATAAACCAGGCTGCTGTTTGTCATGTGTTGAGTCATCTGCCAGATCCCATTTGTGTGTGCTGGCATTTACACAGAGCATTCTGCAGGTAGGCCAAAGCAGAGCATCTTGGAATTAAAGGGAAAAGAGAAAGAATCCCTCAAACCCTGGGATGAGGAGGGGGAAGGAAAGGAGATAAAAGAATGCAAAAAGAGCTGATGTTAGTAATATGTCCCCACCACTACTTGTGATTTTAAACCCCTGGGTGTGACATTCCCAGCAGCAGAGGTGTGTGAGCAGAAAGCCCTGCTGAGCTTCAGAGGGATGCCACCACTCATCCTGGCAGGGAACTGCTGGGAGACCCATGCTTTGGCACTGAGCTGGCTTTTTTCTCTCCCAGGGTGAAGACCTGGTGAAGTGGCAGGCACTGTTTGAAGAGGTGCCTGCACAGTTAACAGAACTGGAGAAGAAGCAGTGGATTGCCAAGCTGAGTGCTGTGTCCCTCAGCTCTGATGCCTTCTTCCCCTTCAGGGATAACGTTGACAGAGCTAAGCGGGTAAGGTGGTGGCAGGGTGACTGCAAGGAAATGCCTGCACAGGCTAGGCTTTCTGTTTTAAGTTTGTGTGGACTGCTGAGGAATCTCTGCTTTGCACGGTTAGCTGGAGTAGTGCATCCTGGGAAGGATGCTTCTCATGGTTACTGGTCTCATGTGGATAGTAATTATCCAGTCATTGCTCAGTTTGTTGACTTAAAATGAATGGAGGATTAAAGTTGATTAAACCATGCAAGAATAACAGACAAGGCCTGTTGCTTCCAGAGGAACAGTTTTATTCTTCTGAACTGTGGAGAGAGCTGACTGATCACACAAGGAACTCTCCTGTGAATGTCTTTGGGCAATGGAAGCTTTTGTTTGTTTATTGATTAGTATCTAGGGATGCGAATGAAGGACTGGGGCTGCCAGCTCCTTTTCAGGGGGATTTTGGTTTTCCATGCTCTAATCCTTCCACTTCTCTCTGTTTTTGTTCAGAGTGGAGTACAGTTCATCGCTGCCCCATCTGGCTCGGCTGCAGACGAGGTTGTGATTGAAGCTTGCAATGAGCTGGGGATAACCCTGATTCACACCAATCTCCGGCTGTTTCATCACTGAGTTTGCTGTGAGACGTTGTGGGTCCTCTTTGGTCAGTCTCACCAGCAGCAGTGGCTGGAGTATCACCAATTTAATTGGCAGGCACTCACAGCCTGTGCTTAGCAAGTGTTTGTAGGGTCTGTAAATGAGTCTTTCCCTGTGTTAGCAAAGAGTAAAGGCACAAGAAGTTGGCCTCCAATGTAGAAAATAAGTGTTCTGCAAATAAACTTACGGTTCTTAGCTATGTGGAGTCTGTACTCCTGTGTCATCCAAATACCTTGTCCTTGGGGAAACAAGCTTATCTTTGAGGTACATTTTACGGTGCAGACTTTACAACTTCATTAGAAGGCTTATGGAATGGTATGAAAGCTGGGCTCATGCCCAACTTCTTAATGAACTGATAAGAATCTGTGTTGTAAACTGAACTGAGCTGCTTTTGGGGGAATCAGCAGGTAGTTTTCTCCAGGTGCTTCTAATCCACTGTGAGGAGAGGGGAGCAGGTCCTTTGTGCCAGACCCTCTGAATTGTGCCCTAGCCAGTGCTTTGGGGCTGAGAGGCAGGTTGTGTTCTCCAAGGTGAAAGGCTCATTCCTGCCAGGAGCTTGACATGCTTGTTCTCATTCCAGGGAGTTTAGCTCAGAGTTCACATGCAGGCATCTGGGAAGCATCTTGCCTGAAGCCACTTCCCTTCTCTATTGTGCGCAATTTGCTTTGAGCAGATTTGAACTCCGATTAGAAAAACAAAGTGAAAATCTGGAGCACAGGGAGATGAACCAAGCCAAGCCCAGACACGTTTCTTGCTGGCAGTCGCTGTGACCATTTCAAAGGGATGATTTTGGGTTCTGTTCTGTAAAAGCTGTTCAGTTTTTGGCACGGAGCAGTCCAAAGTTTGCAATAAACACTTGAGTCATGCCTCAAATCCTGGCTGGAACAGAGCAGGAAGTCTGCCTGTGTTCCCTTTGCTCAAGCAGCTGCAGGGGTGCATAGGTGGGAGGCAGATTGAGAAGAGCAGAAGTTCTGGTGTATTCCTGGCTCTGCTGCTGACTTTCTGTGAGTGTGGACATGTATTTAATTCTCCCTGCCTGCTTGCTTGATCCAGACTGCTTCAAGTGAGCAAAGCAAAGATATTTCCTGGGGAATATGAGGCATTTAAGATACCAAGAAAACCTGGCAGAGGCTGCCCAGAGAAGCTGTGGCTGCCCCATCCCTCGCAGTGTTCAAGGCCAGGTTGGACACAGGGGCTTGGAGCAGCCTGCTCTAGTGGAAGGTGTCCCTGCCCGTGGCAGGCAGCTGGAACTGGATGAGCTTTAAGGTCCCTTCCAACCCAAACCATTCTATTGAGTCTATGATCATAATCATAGAATCACAGAATAGTTAGGGTTGGAAAGGACCTTAAGATCATCAAGTTCCAGCCCCCCTGCCATGGGCAGGGACACCTCACACTAAACCATCTCACCCAAGGCTTTGTCTAATGTGGTCTTGAACAGTCAGGGATGGAGCATTCGCAACCTCCCTTGGCAACCCTTTCAAGTGCCTCACCGCCCTAACAGGAAAGAATTTCCTCCTTATATCCAATCTAAACTTCCCTGTTTAACTTTTAACCTGTTACCCCTTGTCCTATCACTACAGTCCCTAACAAAGAGTCCCTCCCCAGCATCCCTATAGGCCCACTTCAGATACTGGAAGGCTGCTATGAGGTCTCCATGCAGCCTTCTCCAGGCAGAACAGCCCCAACTTTCTCAGCCCATCTTCATACAGGAGGTGCTCCAGTCCCCTGATCATTCTCATGGCCCTCCTCTGGACTTGTTCCAACAGTTCCATGTCTTTTTTATGCTGAGGACACCAGAACTGCACACAATACTCCCAAGTGAGGTCTCACAAGAGCAGAGTAGAGGGGCAGGATCACCTCCTTCAACCTGCATCAATCCTTTTGATGCAGCCCAGGATACGGTTGGCTTTCTGGGATGTGAGTGCACACTGAAGCCAGCTCATGTCAAGTTTCTCATGGACCAGCACCCCGAAGTCCTTCTCTGCCCAACCTGTAGCTGTTCGTGGGACTGCTCCAACCCAGGTGTAGGACCTTACACTTGGCATGGTTAAACTTCATGAGGTTGGTATCAGCCCACCTCACAAGCGTGTCAAGGTCCCTCTGGATGGCATTCCTTCCCTCCAGCGTATCAACCGAACCACACAGCTTGGTGTCATCAGCAAACATGCTGAGGGCGCACTCAATCCCACTGTCCATGTCAGCGATGAAGATGTTAAACAAGACCGGTCCCAACCCAGACCCCTGAGGGACACCACTCGTTACTGGTCTCCAGCCGGACATTGAGTCATTGACTACAACTCTTTGTGTGTGGCCATCCAGCCAGTTCTTTATCCACCGAGTGGTCCATCCATCAAATTGATGTCTCTCCAATTTAGAGACAAGGATGTTGTGTGGGACAGTGTCGAACACTTTGCACAAGTCCAGGTAGATGACATCAACTGCTCTACCCCTGTCCATCAGTTCCAGAGCCCCATTATAAAAGGCCACCAAACTGGTCAGGCAGGATTTCCCCTTAGTGAAGCCATGCTGGCTGTAACCAAGCACCTTGTTGTTTTTCATGTGCCTTAGCATGCCTTCCAGGAGAATCTGCTCCAAGATTTTGCCAGGCACAGAGGTGAGACTGACTGGTCTGTAATTCCCCAGGTCATCCAATTTCCCCTTCTTGAAAATGGGGGTTATATTTCCCTTTTTCCAGTCATCGGGAACTTCACCTGACTGCCATGATTTCTCAAATATGATGGCCATTGGCTTGGCAGCTTCATTTGCCAGCTCCTTCAGGACCCATGGATGGATTTCATCAGGACCCATGGACTTGTGCACGTTCAGATTTTTAAGATGGTCTCGAACCAATTCCTCTCCTACAGTGGGCCCAAGGTCTTCATTCTCACAGTCCCTGTGTCTGCCTTCCAAGACTTGGGTGGTGCGGTCAGAGCCTTTGCCAGTGAAGACCGAAGCAAAGAAGTCATTCAGAACCCCAGCCTTCTCCAAATCCTGTGTAGCTAGTTCTCCCGAGAGCTTCCTGAGGGGGCCTACATTCTCCCTAATCTGATTTTTATTTGCTATGTACCTGTAGAATCTCTTCCTGTTATCCTTAACATCCCTAGCCAAGTTTATTTCTAACTGGTCCCTAGCTTCCCAGACAACATCCCTGTACTCTTCCCAAGCTGCCTGTCCTTGCTTCCGCCTTATATAAGCCTCTTTTTTCCTTTGAATTTTCCTCAGCAGCTCCTTATCCATCCAAGGAGGTCTCCTGGCCCTCCTGCTGTACTTCCTTCTAGTTGGGATGCAACACTCCTGAGCTTGTAGCAGGTGATCCTTGAACACCAGTCGTCAGTCTTGAGCCCCCGTGCCCTCTAGGGCTATATCCCATGGAACCTTACTAAGCAGGTTCCTGAAGAGGCCAAAGTCTGCTCTCTTGAAGTCTAGGGCAGTGAGCTTGCTGCACGCTCTTCTCACTGTCCTGAGGATCTCAAATTCAACTATCTTGTGATCGCTGCATCCAAGGCTGCCCTGGATAGTCACATTTCCAGCAAGCCCTTCCCTGTTGGTGAGCACCAGGTCAAGCATGGCACCTCTCCTTCCCGGTTCCTCTATTACTTGCAGAAGGAAGTTGCCTTCCACACAATCGAGGAACCTCCTGGATTGCTTGTGCTGGGCCATACTGTCATTCCAACAGATGTCAGGGTGGTTGAAGTCACCCATGGGAACGAGGGTCTGTGAGCATGAGGCTGTTCCTATCCGCCTATAGAGTGCTTCATCCGCAGGTTCCTCTTGATCAGGCAGTCTGTAATAGATCCCCACAGTAATGTCTCCCATCGCTGTTTTCCCTTTAACCCTGACCCACAAACTCTGTCAACTGCTCACCTGTCCCCAGACAGAGTTCCATACTCTCCAGCCTATCCCTAACATAAACAGCAACTCCCCCTCCCCTCCTGCTGGGTCTGTCTTTTGTAAAGAGTCTGTAACCTTCCATTCTAACACTCCAGCCATAGGAGCCATTCCACCATGTTTCTGCAATGCCTATTATATCATACCCCCATAGACATGCGCTCATCTCTAATTCCTCTTCTTTCCTCCCCATGCTACGGGCGTTTGTGTGGAGGCATCTGAGCCGAGCTCCAAATGAAGCTGGCTCATTGGCTGGAGCAGCTGGAATATCTCTACATTGCTCCGAGCACTTATTATAGGTGCTGGCAACTGACTGGGTGTGTTGGGATGGAATGATGCCCCCCTCCCCCAACACATCTACTTTAAAGCATCCTTGACCAGTCTGGCAAGCCTCCTACCAAAAGACGAGCTCCACCAGCCCCTGCTAGACCTGGCCTACAAACTTGGGTCCCATGTTCAAGACACCCAAACCCCTGACTGTGACACCACCCTTTTAACCATTTATTAACCTGGCTAATCCTCCTAGGTTTTTTTAGGTCCTCCCCTGTATCCTGGAGAATAGATGAAAAGACTATCTGAGCTCCAGAGCCCTTAACCGCCTCTCCCAGGGCTCTGTAGTCCTTCTTTATGGTCCCCAGGCTACTACTATCTATATCCCTAGCACCCACATGTATCACCAGAAGTGGGTAATAGTCCGTGGGGCTTACTAGAGCAGGCATCCTCTGCCACATCCCTGATCCGTGCCCCTGGTAGGCAACACACCTCCCTTGAGACAGGGTCAGGCTGACAGACGAGTGCTTCTGTCCCTTTCAAAGTAGAATCCCCTACTACTACAACCCGCTGCTTTTTCCTGGCAGCACCAGTAGAGATCTTCTTTACCAGTGCATTAGCCGGCTGTTTCTGGTGCAAGTGCATTTCCTTATGAGCCCCCTGCAGGACAGCAAAGCTGTTCTGCGTGGGGACAACAGATTTAGGAGGAAGTCCCTTGCTTTTAATTGTCCTTTTCCTCCTTTTTTTGTTGGTTTTATTTATCACCAATTCCCAGCTTCCTGGGTTAATGACCTCCTTTTTTCCTCCATGAGCTATGATGGACACTTGAGGCCCCTGCACAGTCTGGGCCTGGAGCAAGCATCCCTGCTTCTTCCCAGCTTCCCTGACATCTTGCAGCCTATTAATAGCATCCTGCAGCTCAGCCACCTGCTGCAGGAGGACCTCCACCAGGGAGCACAGAGTGCAACCCTGCCCATTGCGCACCTGGTTTTCCTTTCCACACACTGGTTTTCCTTTTAATGCTGTCATTCCATGTCC